GCTGCCACGCCACCACCTCGGCCTGTGTTTCGGGGGATGTGACAGTTACTGTGACTAGATGGCGTGGATTCATTTAGACTGACATGTTCTTACTGCTGTAACCATGTTTCAGTAAGACACAATAAGTCAATGTGATGTTCACTTATCAAATCATTCACTAACAGAGATTTAGATGAGAGAGATCTGATATTTAATAGTCCACATTTGATTGTCTTATTACTTTCCACTATAAGAGGAGTCGTCTTAGGTTCTTATGAATAACTCCTCTGGAGTTGATTCTTGATTTATATAATTTAGGTGGGCGGGGGACAGACACAGTCTCTATGGGGTACTGGGAGCGTTGGGTGGGTAGCAGCTGCAAGGAGACAGCAGAGAGGCGTGTAAGACTGCGACCCTGCATCCTGGACTCAACTCTGGGTTGTCATAATTTAGGTTGTAAAACAAACTCGTCCAGATTTCTAGATAAGAGAGCCACACCACCCAAAGTGGGATGGATGCCGTCTCTGCTAATCAGACCAGGTTTTCACCTAAATGTTTTCCAGTTATCTATGAAGCCCATCTCATTTCCTGGGCACCACCTAGACAACCAGCGGTTGAATGACGACATGCGGCTAAACATGTCATCACTGGTCAGATTGGGTAGGGGTCCAGAGAAAACTACGGAGTCCCTCATTGTTTTAGCGAGGTTACACATACCAGTCTTATTTAACTGACTGTGTTTGAATTTACCACCAATAATTCTCACCATCAATATTAATAAAGGATGTGGATCTCAGTGGAGCAGGTGCTCACAGTGCTCAAACCAATGAGCACTCTTGAGCTCAATCATTTAAACATTACATTGTTACAACACTCATGACAAAACATACAACCATCCATTTAAATTCAATGTTTATTTTGCACCAGCCAAAAAAATCTTGGTGCAAAAGATTAACTCCCAGTTACGATATCAGTGACAGTGCATCTCAGCAAAATAGTAATGCTCAACAAAAAGAAAGAAAAATCATTTACTACATCAAAAGAATGTGAACACCAATAAAAAGCAGTTTCTTAGGTAAAAAAAAAATCAAGGTTCAAACACTAACAATCTGTTACTTTTAAACAGACAAGGGCAGCAAACAATAATACAGTAAGTAACAATAATGCTTCATCTAATACAGAAGTATCAGTACAGCCAATCTCCCAGGAACACACGCCCTCTCCCCTTCTCTCTCTCTCTCTCTGTCTCACACACACACACACACACAGGGTGCTGGTACATAGCAGGAGCCAAATTATCATAATCCCATTACCACAGCATTAAAATCAATTACAGTTAATAAATATCAATGAAAGCCCCTTTAAAGTTGAAATATGTTTAACTGATCAACTGACTGTGCAACATGTAAAAAATGTCCAATAAAAATAACTACTTCAGAATACTAATATACGATTAAAACAGTTGTCAGATTTAAATCATTACATTATTTGTTTCTTTTTTGCCCTTAAGCAAGAATGAGTATTTACAACAGATCTTGCAAGATGGCCAGAATCGTCATGAATAAGTGTCTCATTCTATAGCACAGTTTGAAGCCTTACAATGATTCAAAACCACTTCTGTAAAAAGACAAATGGTCAGCCATTTAACAACAAGCTGAGCTTTATCGTGTCAAATCAGACTGTGTTTGCGGCAGCCATTGGTGCTGGTCTAACATGCCAATACAACCTGTAATACCCTTTTAAAATTCACAAGCCCAAGGCACTGTGCACTCAGAATCACCAGAATGGATTTTACACCAATCTACACTTAAGCTGCACTAGCATTAAAAAAAAACTGAGTGACAGTTCCTTAATGGGCCCAAGACACCACAATATAGAAAAACATTCCACATCATCACAATAGATTAGCATGCTAGACATTTTCAGACAAAGGAATTTACAGCATGTATGACAATAAAATCAAACTGTCTATCATGACTGCTTCTGGGCCGTCATCTCTTTACAGGAGCTACAGTTGGACACTTGCTATACACTTTGACCTCTTCCAAGTCAAACCTAGATTCTGAAAACACGCATTCAGAGCAACCTACCAAAGCACATTTCACATGTGTTCAGTGGGATCTGTAGCACTGGTAGTGTCCTGGGGATGCAACTGTTCTGAAAAGACAGTGATGTTTGGACTGTAGATCGACACCTAGTTAAATCTGTGTCAAATAGGGAACATTCTGACTACAGCATTATTCACCCTATGCAGTCTCATAACATTATACACAACACAGGAATTTCTCTGCACTCAGTCCTTTCAGAATTGTGTCAATTTGATCACTGCTGATCTCTATAAATAGTGCAAACAACATTTTTCCCCAACCTAAACACATTTTATAAAAACTGTTATCTTTACATAACAGTGCCTACATGTGGCGCAGCACTTGTGGCCAAACCTTTGTTTTTTTCCAATCATTGTAAGTGTGGGAATGTTAAAAATATCTAGAAACAATCAAAGAATTATGTCTGCAAATTCTTGAAAGGTCTGTTCATTTGCTCTGTGCAAATTTGTGTGTATTTACAAAGGGTGCTTTGCTGTATATATGGCTTCTGCTCATTTATGGCTCCTTTTTCCCTTTAACCCTATATAGCCAGGCACTGTTTCTTAGCCACAAGGACAATAAGTACATTTGTATCTTTTAGTGCGTGATCACCAAATCATGGTGATTGAATACTGAATAAGTAACTTTTTTCCAAGGCCACAGATTTCTGAAAATATTAAAGATGCCAGACTAGATCTCTACCATCTTCTCTTCCATCGACTCAAGGAAAACACTTGTTTGGTTTGGGGAAGATGAATCAGTCTGTTTTGCTGTTAAAAAAAAAAAGCAGTATTCGATTTTGTATTGAAAGCCAAAAAAACCCCCCCACTAATCTGAACCAGTCTTTTGGTTTCTCAGTGTGTTTGTATGGATCTGTGTGACTCTTGTCACTACTGGAGGACTTGTTGCCATATGACCACATATCACTTCATTTATCTACTTTCTCTCCCCTGCTATTTAGGCTAGCTCTGCTTTGGGGTCACAGTCTGCTTTGGCTGTGTTTTGGATGCTGCTGCAGAGGCAGAGGAAGTGGAAGAAGAGGAAGAGGAGGAGGATGAACTCCATCGCGTCTCTACACCTGTACTTGTCATCTTTAGCTTCCGTCGTTTTGCTAGGGGAGCATTGTCCACACTTTTCAGAAAGAAGCCCTCTCTCTTACACCGGTTGAAAGCCTGGTGGGAGAGGAATATGACAAAAAAATGGAAATGACAGTAACATGAAACACATTAAATACATGAAAGCTTAGAGAAATTTAGTAGACTACCTTGTAGGTAGCATTGACATAGGTGCGAACTGTAGGCCCACTGGACTCTAGCACATCTGGAGTGCACAAAGGAGTAGTGGACATGGAAGCACCACCCTGTAGCCAGCTGTTCTCTTTCAAATCAGAGAGTTTGAGACGCATCTCTGGATCCACAGTCAGTAGGCCTTAAACCATAGAGGGACAGGAGAAAACAAACATAAGGACAAACAAAGAGATTTTGATAAATCAAGTAAAAAAAAAACTGTCTAGTGTTTTCTCCCTACTGTACTAACGCCCCCACCCCAACCCCACTCGACTATCATCAGGCCTTCCATGCCCCAGCTGATCTGATGATATAATAAGGGAGTGGACCTGTTAGATCCAAGAGGTGGCATTCTGTGGCACAGAAAGCACAACAAAGAATGAGGCAAAACCAGGGTTAACATCAGTTTGGCATGTTGGAGATGGAAGGTATTAAAAGTGTCGGAAAGACATGGAAATCTGACATGGATGTGGCTTTCTTCCTGCTAGACACGCAAATACTGTAGCTGACTAACATGTATATGTCGGCATATTTCACAAGCTAACATTAGCATTTCAATTTTGTACCTTTATACTGAACAATTCTGGTTGCAATTTGGAGTCATTCCAACTGACTGCATAATTAGTGTTTTGTTGTCCAATGAGTGAAAACCAGCATGTTTTCCTGGATTAGCAAATGAAGTAATTTTACAAATTTTTACTCGGTTTTGGTCCAGTTTATTTCTAACATAACACACAAGTCCAAGTGGCACTACTAAAATGGCATCACTAAAATGTAAACCTCCTTATTTGACACTGTGTTACTGCAATGCCACTGAAAACCATGGGCAGGAGGGGCAAAGAGGAGCAGAGGGAGAAGAGGAGCGGATACTGCTCGAGTTTGTTTTAATTATCACTTTGCCCTTAATTACAAAAAATTAGATGGAGAAGTTAATTAATGTGACTTTAAGATATCAGGCATACAGATAGAACAAGCTGACTTCTGAAGAGGGGATGTGGAAAATATTTCTCTGACTGCTAAATGGCATGTTTTAAAAACAATGAAAGTCCATAAACCACCATTCCATTATCAAACAGGGCAGAGAGACATCTAATGAAGTGCCTATTATTGTTAGTTGCTTGTTAGTAATTAACAGCATGTGTCAGTAAAAGTAAACACTATCCCACACCTTTAACAAGCTCTTTGGCATCCTCTGATACACCCTTCCAGGCCTCCCCATCCAATGAGAAATCGCCTTCTTTTATCTTTTGCATGATGTCTCTAGAATACGATGAGGTCATCCAACGCTGCTCACTCTGAAATGGCACCTGGCCTGACAGCATGGTGTACTGTTGGAAATGCACACAGAGTCATTAACACTTCAGCTAGCCAGTGATGTGCCAGAATCAAAAAAAGATTTAAGTTGAAATTACCAGGATAACCCCAAGACTCCAGAGGTCACAGGGTTTGTCGTAACCTGCACTCTCAAAAAGCTCAGGTGCAGCATACTGCAGTGTGAAGCAGGGAGTCTGCAGAGGGGCGCTGCCTGTAGGGCACAGACGGGCAAATCCAAAATCGATTACTTTCAGCACCGAGTCCTCCCCTTCATCTGCAAACAGCACATTCTGTAAAGAAAAACAAATGAAAAACAAAAATGAATACAAGTTGGTATGTTCCTGACCTTCACATATGCTGTGCCTGTGTGTATAGCATATTCATGCCAATGTAGAACATGCTGCACAAAGGTGGGAGTAAAAGGCAAACAGATTCAAATGAGGCAGAAAAAATAACCTTTGGTGAAAATCTGATTAGATGCCAGACAACAAGAGCTACATGTTTCTCACTGATCTGACCATGATTCATCATTTACTGATTCTGTCAACAGGCACAAACTCAATACTTAAGAAATGTGCCAGAACTGTAGATTTATGTAGATAAATCCTTTTAATAAAACTGTCCAAGTAAATGCATTTATATAAGCATCAAAAATAAAAGTTAGTGCGATTAAGTTGAGCATCTCAGTAAAACACTGTGTAGAACTAAAAGTTAATGGGTGATTCTTGTCATTATCTGTCAGTCACAGCTTTTTAATACTATATGAACGCCTTCTCCTTCCGCTAATTAAATCCTACAGCCACCTGAAGACACCAGGACATACATGTGTGATAAACCTGCAGTCTTCATTTTGAAACACAGCAGCACAGAGACAATATGCACTGTTGTCCACTATGCTGACCTCTATTAAACCTAGAGAAAATGGTGCAAAGTAACCACACCAGCATCCACGCACATCAGACTGGTCGGTTACCACCATGTACTCAACCGGTTTATGCAAGACATCCTAAGGGTGCACAGGACACATGAAGTTCACACAGTGGAGGAGGGAGGAA